TGGTGGCCCACACGTACTTCCAGTCCTTCTGAAGCAAGAATTACAAATGGGGACAAAACTCAGTGAGCCTCTCTTCATTATTTGTTCTCCAAAATATTTGCAGTTTAGCTAAAGCCCACTTTTGTTTTGATTTCTTTTATTTTGGGATTCTGCCATGTTCATGTTTCATATCTTTGCAACTACTTTGAAGGGAAATTTACTTCATTCGTATCAGATGCCCACAGAAGCTAAATATTCATCACTTTCCATTCTTAAAAAGTAAGTTTTATTTTTGGTTTTGTTTTTGTTTTTAATCTCTGTTTGAGCCACAGAAGAACATAGGACCTCAGGTCATTACTCATGATCATTAAAATGTCTTTTAGGAAAAACTCAATATCTCCATATTTTTCCTCAAAAATACATATAGTGACTGCACAAAATTGTAAGAGCTGGGTTTTTATTGTTGTTGCTCTTGTAGTCTTTAAGCCCTATATGTAAAAATACCACCAGAACAGAGGCTTGACCCTACCCCTCGAAAAGACCCCACAGATAGGAGTTCTCTAATCTGTTCTGCTTTTCTCGGTTGTCACACAGGATGTAAGATCTCCAAGAGCCTCCAAAAGGAAAGGAACACAAAAAGGGAGGAAAAACATATATGCATGTCCAAATTTTATATATATATATATATATATATATATATATATATATCCTAAAAATGAGCATTTAAACTGCTTGTCAGACAGCTCCCTGACAAAGCCACTAGAGTGTATTCACAGACATTTGCATAAATGCTGCCGGTGAGTTCACCATAGCTGCTAGCGCTAATGGTACATAAAGTAATTTAGTCACTTCTCCCGGCATTCTGTGTCAGGATGATGAGCACAGGCACTCTGCCTTGTTGCATATTAGATCATTAGATAATAAAGTGTTAGCGCATGCAAGCTGACAGGGTCTCTGCACTCTAGCGTTGTGAGGACACAGCATTCTGCCACGGGGGAAAGAAATAGAGAAACTGATGCCACAATTGGCCTTAAATTCAAGTAAATAGAACCTGAAACTCGAGATGAGCCACAGTGACAATAACAGCATTCCCGAAGCCCTTTCAAGCACTCTTGTGCACGGTCCCCACAAATTTGCTTGAGTGGCTTGACTGTAAGATGAGGCACACACATATATACCAATGGTTCACATGACCACGGGTGGGCACGATTCAGGTCCCTTGGTCCCAACCCCGTGGTTCTGTAGAAATGAGAACCCCGAGAGCCATTACATGTGACGCTGCCTCCCTCCGCAACTGCACGTCTTCCATAAAGCCACTGCTTCAGGAAGCATCATCGATAAATGTGCCCATAAATATCTAGCCAACGAAAATCTTAGTATTTATGAATGGAGAGAAAAATGGGAGGGAGGGGGGCGATTACCATGAGCTACAGTGTTCCAAGTTCCAGCCCCTTTGGATCACGCAAGATTCTTGGAAATAAATCTGCCTTTGTCATCCCTCAGATTTGAAATCCAGAGACATTAATTCTGAGCCTAGGAGCTCCGAGTGCTTGGGCTGTGTGAGGAAGACGGGGCATGAATGTAAACCATGATTTCTTTTCTAGAAATGTAGAAAGACAAGCCACAAAAGGGACTTTCCTCCCAGTGTCTGACAAACAGGATATAAGTAGAGATGGGCCGAGTTACTCAAAATAATCTGGGCTACCTGTAAATGAGGAGGGAAAGGGCCTTGAATGCCGATGACTCTACAGGTCTCAAGGGGTGAAGGCATGCTGTGGGAGGTAAGGGTGGCCGTGGATAAATGGAAGCACGGGCTGACGGGGGCGGGAGCCTTAAGCAAGGCATTTTAAATAGGATTCTTCAATGAAAGAAGTATCATCTCCCAAACCAACATGAATTAGCATGTAGGTCCACACATCACCAAGAAGAGAGTTCAGTAGTCCCCCTTGGCCCAGGAGATACATAAGCATGCGTTTGAAGTGTCTAAGTGAGTGGGAGGTTATCTATGGCTACTTTGTAGAAAGTCAGATTTCTACACTGCTGCTGTGCCATTACTCAAGATCTGGACATGTCTACCCTTTCCTTCCCCTGGAAGGAAGTAAAGTAAGGGTTTGTTGAGAGTGAAGGACATAGGGCATGGTGGGCTCTGCAGTAATAGCTAACCATTGATATGCAGTGCAATGTGGACTGGTAAACAAAGCAGAAGAAAGTATTTTCCTTCTTCCTGGGGATAAGATGATGTTCCAGCTGCTACATTAATTATATTAATACGTATCCGTACTGAAGGAGCATTTGAGCTAAGAGAAGAGACCACAGTGGTTAGCATGGGCAGTACTCTTCCTCAGTGTCTTTTCCCCTTGCTCTCCTCCCTGCTCTGCTTAAATACTAATTATTAGTCATTGAATGATAAAAATTAGTTATCAGTAGGAGAGGTTTTTTGGTTTTGGGTTTTTTTTTTTTTTTTGAAACAGGGTTTCTTTATGTAACAGCATTGGCTGTCATGGAACTCACTCTGTAAACCAGGCTGGTCTTGAACTCACAGAGATCTGCCAGATTCTGCCTCTGAATGCTGGGATTAAAGGTGTACAACACCACTACCTTGCCAAAAAGTAGTAGAGTTTTAATTCTTGCCAAATTGGACCATCTGGCCCCATGCTCCCTCTAGAGATGCTGGTTAGTGCTGGGGCAGTAGGGCATACACTAAGCAGTCTTCACTACCTTCACCCAGCCCACTTCCTCCCAAAACAGAGATCTATTGTTTTATTCCTAACAGATAACCAACTTCATTTTATCACGAAGAAAACCAAGGGTCAGAGAGAGGCCAGAGTAAGATGAAGAAGTGAATTTGGGATTGCTAGTGCCTACTTCAAGACTTTGTTCTCTGCATCACCTGGCAAAACAATGTCACTGACATCCAACCTTTGGAAGCATCCTTCCTAACTGGTAACTGTTTGCTTGCTTGCTTTGGGATATTTTGTGCAGGGATAAGTAATGTGCCTGAGTTTGTTCCACTTCCATTGAAAATTTCCCTTCACTTGTACTAATTTGTGTGCACGTGTTCCTACCTGTGCTGGTGTGTGTGTAAGCGTGTATGTGAGTGCATGTGTGTGTGTCTTTACATGTGTATTTGCAGCCATAGGACAACCTGGGGTATAGTTTCACAGATGCCACCACCTTGGTTTTTGAGACAATGTCTTTTTGTTGGCCTGAAACCCACCAAGTAGGGCTAGGCTGCATGTCCAGTTGGTCCCTGAGACTTGCTCATCTCTGCTTCCCCAGAAAATGAATCATAAGTGTGTTACCAGACTAGACTTGACTTTTTCATGTGGGTGCCAAGGGCTGAAAGCAGGTTCTTTGGAGTGAATACTTTATTGACTGAGCTTTCCTGCCAGCCTCCTCCTCACTGCCTATGGGCAAAAAAAAAAAAAAAAAAAAAAAAAAAAAAAAAAAAAAGAAATAAAAGAAAAGAAGAAGCTAGACATGGGGGAGCTAGGTATGGGAAGAAGATAGGAAGTATGTATGGGAGCTGTGCTTAGAGCTTTCCCTGAAACCATCAGCTGCCGACCTCCAACTCACTGTTAAATCTGTCTGCAGATCAGATAGCTCCCATTGCAACCAACCAGTCGAGAGTCAAAGCAACAATTGTGGTCCCCACTCCAGGCTCTCCATACTGTGCCTGCTGATTATGTACCAAGTGTTCCTTCTTCCTCCCACCTAAGCACCTCTAGTCACATGGCATCTTCAGTGACTTCAAGGGTATGAAGGAGGCACCATTACGGTAAAGTGAGGATCAGAATAATTTTAAGTACAGAAATGGGGCTAGGGATGGGATCATGAGCATGTGTTTCAAATGGCCTCCTGAAAAAAGTAATATCCATCCATCTTGGCACTAATGAAACATAAAGCCTCAGCTTTTGAACGATGATGGTTTACTTTTGAAAGACTATAAAACTGGGTGTGGGGGGAAATGCCTTCTAAGAGTATAACATCGGGCTAATTAATGAAATGTACTGTTTGTGCATTCCTCAAGCACAGGTGGAAAAAAATAGGCAAAAATGATGACAAGGGTGTGTGTTTATTAAATTGGGATGCTGGCAGGGAAGGGAGGTTTTTACCTTATGAATTATGTCATGTGGCTTGTGTGCCACCGTAAAAGTCAGGCTATCACATGATAATTTGTACGGTCGTGTTCTCAAAAGAATCCTGCTGACGTGGCAAAGGAGGGGTGCTGGAGCGAGAGGAGCAGGTTGACTTTCATTTGAGATCAGAGAAAGTTCTATTGGCGGTTGGTATGTAGTAGACTCTTGGGCTGATAGAAAGGGGAATTCATTGCCTAGACACTCAAGCGAGTTATTCAGACACACACCCAAACTAATTCAGATTCCCTTTGAGTAACACACCCTTTCCTTGAACTGTTTTTGTCTGCTTGCTCTAGTTGCCTCACAGGTAACCACTGATTTCCCACAGTCTTTAGTGGTAGTGATTTCTCCCTGGCTAAACTGACCCCTGCAGAAAGCAGGCTACGTCGCATGATGATGAAGAGGGAGTTGTTAGTCTAGAGAACTAAAGGCCTGGGAGGGGCATTTGCCCTGAGTCCCACAGCAGAAGGAATAGCTTAGCTGCCCTTGACTCTGACGCAGCTCTCCAGATGAATCAACAGGTGCACTGTAAGGTTTGGATGTCTTCCCCATTCACCTACGGATTGGCCCTTTTTAATCCTGCCCTCAATTGGGAGCTCCTTGATCCAGATCTCTCTCTCTCTTGCCAAGCTGAAAGTAAGAGGTACCAGCATTCCAAGAGATAGTCAGTCACACAACCAAAAAGAATGTGCTTAAATGATAGACCCCGCCTTTAAATCCTTAGCTTCTTATTTTGCAGGGTCAAAGTGCCAAAGCGCAGCATAGGTGTTCGGAAACTCTAAGACTTAGAACAATAGGAAATGCGGTTGGAGTGGAAGGAAGAAAGCACACAAAGTCACAGTTCAAAGTAGCAATGCCAACTAATGAAAATGAGTCGCCTACCATGTTCCAGATAAGAGGGCGTACCTTCCGAGGGGTCAAGCCTCCTAGCCCTCCGCCCGTGCTTGGAATTATTGTGAACGAACATGTTATCGGAGACTGCCAGGACATGGCCGTCCACATTGACGGTGGTAGACACCACGACCTGGAGACGGGAGAGGAAAATGAATGAGCATTTTCATATAAAAGCATGGTGGGAAATAAACTCAAGTTAAATAAATAACAGCTGGGAGCTGAAGAAAATTGCATAGCTATTTCACATAATAACCGGTGCTTATGTTGTACATGTCTAACAAGAGGCGCTATTGATGAGTGGGTCTTCGGCGTGGAACGCTTTTGATGCCGTTTTAAGTAAAATTGCACAGTTTATAGTTATGCAGCAAAAGGTACCCTGTTAACCATAATTTTTACAAGGCGTTCTTTATTAGCACAGTTATATATATATATATATATATATATATATATATATATTTACACAAGGGTGGCTGTGTTTCACCTAAATTACCCTTCAGTTTAGACACTGAAGTAGATATCATAGTAGATCATGCAAATAGAAGTCTTTTAAATCTTTAAAATATCTCTTCCCTACTGAGTCAGGGTTAAGAAGATAGCGAATGAAAATGAGAGGGGTTGGAGTGGAAGCTGGGATCTGCTTGTGTCTTCCTCCCCCAAGGGTCTTATTGAAGTTTTTTTACACATTTTACTCTTTTGTCCCATGTCAGTCTGGTGAATCACATTCAAACCACCCTTAGAGCCATTATCATCATGCCACCCTCATCCCCCTCCAAAAAAAAACAAAAAACAAAACTTTGCTAATTAAGGGTCTTAGATCTGTTTCCAAAGAGTAAAAAGTAAAACATAGAACTGATTCAAAGTCAATTCGGATACCCAGGTCACATCTAAGGATGGCTCAGGCCAGCTTAGGGTCCAGGAAAACGTGTGCCTCTGAGAACTTTGACTAAAACAATGAGCAGGATTGACCTACATCTCTCCTTATATTAAAAAGGGGAGGAGGATTAAAACTGAACCCCACAGAGATATGTTTATTCATGTGACCTCTTACAACCAAATATAATAATTGCCTGTAATCGCAGCTTTGGCTCCCAACTCATGCTTTGACACGAGAAACGGCCATCAGCCAGCCCCTGTTTAATCCAGCTATTATGTTGACTAATTAACTTTGCCCGCCAGCTTATTTCTTCCTCCATTATCAGCCCCTGTCAGCTACAAGCACCCAGCAGCATAGGGGAAACCTTGGGCTCTTTGATTGATCACCAATAGATTGACATGCAGATTAATTTAATTAGAATCACCTCACTTGAGAAATGAAAGACAACGGCAAGAAGGCTAATAGATCTGCTCTTATAATGAGGCCAGCCTCCTGAGCAAAATCACAAGAGTTCTGATTTATTTTGCTCAATTCCCCAGTTGCGTGGAAAGACTCTCGGATTTAATTGTTCTCCAGTTTGAGAAGCATTAGCCTCTGAAGAAGTAAATGACTTACAAAACTTGGGATATACTGTATGCCCTTAGCTTTGAAGGCAGTTTTTTTTCTCTGAGTTAGCAAAGGGAACATTGGGGCAGTGCTGTGGTTTCTTTCACTCGTGGGCATAGGGGAAAGCACCCCACCTAGGTCCAGACCTGTCAATTCTCAACCCCCAGTGTCAAAGCACTCACCACCTTGAAGGATTAACAACGTCCCACTCCCCCTCCTTTTCACTTAAAAGCTTTCTGGCAAAATAAGTCAAATTTCCTTTTCCTGGGAGGTGGCCATAAACTACAGACTAAGAACATGGGGCTCACCGGGCTGATTTTAATATCTTATTAAAACACGCGCTTAACAATTCAGAACTTATCCCCGGACCCAGTGTGTTCTCTTCAGTCTGTCAAAATTCCATCTAGCGCAAGTCATTCACAGAGGGACCCCAGAGATTGATGCAGTGGTTGGCTGCAGGCTCTCTAGATATTCATCATTAGCTGACCAGGTGTGACAGGGACTGAAGCCAGTGTTTGTCCCTCATCAATTGTGAGTTAATTTAAAAGAAGAAAATGGGGTGCGGGGGGGGGGGGAGGATGGAGAAGTAAAGAAAAAAGTCTATTCCTTTATTTTCAAAAACTGTCACATACAGTGACAGTATCTTTAGGACAACAGAGGGGAACTTTTTAGTTAGGGAGATGGCTTCGTCAGACACCGAAAATTACATAACAGCCGGGTCTTTCAAAGAAATGTTGATTTACTACAAGACCACAATTGAGTGGTCACTGGAGTCGTTAGCTGAACAAGCTATAAAAGGAAATCCCGAACAGTATCTGTTTCCAGTGTCAGGAAATGGAAAGTGGTTACCCCAGACGTCTGTCTTCAGCGAAGAGGGCAAGGGCATCCTATGAAACACCTGGAAGACACCAGCGCTACAAACAGTAGGACTTAAAATTATCCGGTGTCTTTTTAAAAACATTGTCAACTAATTGCTGACATTAAGTAAAAGTGACCAAAAAAGAATCAACCTGTTAAGACAGAAAACTATGCAATATGCATTTCCTTTTCATTGCAAGGGAAGACCACAGAGCCACTTGTGCAAGGGCCATTGTACCGCAAGCACAGCCAGAACTAGATGCTGGTGAGTAAAGGATCCCTGTGCTGTTTATTCTAGAAACTAACTCGTAAGCATGTCCCTCAGATACTCATGGCACAACTTTTCAAGCCCAAAATAACCTCCCCCATTCCAATTTGGAAATGATTGGAATAGATTTAAATAAAGTATTACCTGAAATTAACCCACAGAGTCACTAGCAAATTAAAAGTAATTTGTAAGATGGGAAGGGTGGGGGTGGAACGTAATACTAAGCTAACCTTGAAAATTGACCCGTGGTAGACAGGCAATGAGCCTCCATGAGCCAATCAGTAGGCTGCTGGCAAGTAGAAGCAGGTAAGGGGACAGAGAGGCATGACAAGTCTTCAACATGCCCAAATTTTGTCAACAAAACATGTCTTGAATTTAGGACAAAAAAAAAAATAGAAAAGTCTTTTCCCTTTGAAATCAACCATCCTTTACCCTTTTATTTCTCCTTTCACCCCATTGCCCAGAGAAAAAGAGGACAACAACGTGAAACGGTCTACAATGTTGCTGTGTCTGTGCAACCTCTAGTTTCGATAATCTCACTGTCCAAACGTTTGACTATTGGAATTTACACTACGAAAAATATGACGTCCGATTCCTGAGTCGAAGTAGCCACATTTCAAGTAATGGTGGCCATTGGATTAGTCTGGGCAAATATAGAATTTTAAACTTTCTAGAATGTTCCACTGGATGACATTCCCCTGAAATATCTCTGTAATCATTTATGACAATTTATTCATAAAGACAAACTATAGGCTGAGTTCAATCTACAGAAATAAATAAAGGTTTAGGGCTAGATGCCTGTAGGTTCTTAATTGGTAGACTTTCCAATAAAACAGGCACAGGGGTGAGCTTTTCAGAACAGCATCTTCAGGCATGCAGATTCTATGCTGCATGGTTCTGTGGTTCTGGTCCCAACCCTCCAAGTTAGGGCATTTGATGTGAGGCTGAAGAGGGAGAGGTCTGCAGCTACCTGTTGCTCTTCTGAGAATTTACACTACGGGTTTAGTTTCTTGGTTTGTTGTCAGCGGCTTAGAAACTCCTCCAGTGCCTTCTTCCCTGGTTCTAGAAACCCCAGAGGTGATTGTTATTAGCACCCCTGTCTAGAATTTGGAAGGGTGGCACACAAACCAGCTATCTCCCTTCACTGATGTAATTTGAGCATCAGCTGAAGGTGAGCTTACCCTTTCTGCACCCCAGAGTCCCTGATGCTCTGATGACATTTGAAACTTAATTGTTAGCGCTAATTCTGTGAGGCTAAGTGGCGAGCCTGGTCCTCAATGAGCACTTGATGAGCTCAGCAGCAGGAGGAGGGGTAGTCTTCTTTTGTGGGTAACACCAAATGATGAGTTCAAAACGAGTGTTGGGCTGACAAACCTGACCCAGTGACTCCCGGTTCTCATGGAAAAAAAAAAAAAAGAAACTGGCATTTTATGTCAGAGGACAGAGGGAAGAAGCCTCCTGCCCTACAGATCTCCGAGTTTGAAAAGTCTGCCCTCACAACGTAAATTGACACAATTGAGAACTCTAAGAGAACCGTCCTTCTCACAAGATTGAGTAATTTCACTTTCAAGAAGACATCTCCATCTTAGTTGGCTACATTCTAAACTGGACACTAAATGAAACCTCACTGCTTAGAAAACAGTTTGCAAACCAGACATCTTAGTAGTCTACTTTCCCCACTGTCTTTCCTCGGGAAGGATTTCTAGAAAGTTCTGTCATTGATTAGTTCTCCCTCTCCATCATTTCTCAGGCTGTCCTTCGCTCCCTGTCACACAGGAGACCTTGTGTGTCCTTACAATATCATCTAAGATTCATGAGGCATAACCTCTGTCTCATGATCAGATTTTCAAAAAAGACACAAGCACCTAAATTCAATGGCCGGTGGCAGATCACAATAACAAAAGCGGCAGCTTGCATGGAAGAAGGGATTATGACCGATACAAGGACTGAAAATTCCTATCTCTGTGCATTTCTCAAACTGGTATAAAACTAGAGGAAACATGTGGTATCAAAACACTGTCAATGTTTATATTAATAATCTTTGGAAAATAAGTATTTTATTCTTAATAAGTTAGTCATTTTGGTGAATTAATTTTGAGAAATTACAAACCTTGGTTTTCAAAACTTCCATAAAGGGAAATGTTGAACACAGTTGGTTTAGACCATGGCATCTTTCTCTATGGTTTCAACTCACTGTATTATTGCATTAATCCATGGATCCTAACAACCAGGTATTTCTTTTTTTTTTTCATTTTTCACAGGTGTGTATGGTGTGCATGTGTGTGCAGGCACGCTTCTGTTGTAGTAGGTACTCGGCTGCATCTGGAAGACCAAGGCTGCCATTGGGACTCATCATTCGTTCTTCAACTGACTGAGAGGTAGGGTCTCTTACTCAAACCCAGAGCTTACAGAAATAGTGAGTCCTCCCAACCAGCTTACTCTGGGGATCCACCCTGTCTCTGATTTTTGTGCCTGGCATTTCAGGTAGGCCACCATGCCCACCCTACATTAACATGGGTTTCTG